TACTTTAAAGTGCTGGTCACGATAGGAGCTCAAGTCTACAGATGCGGTCATATTATTAATTAAGTTAATAAATACAACAAATCAAACACAAAAAAATCCAAATTTTGTTGGCTTAAAAATAATGTCAGTGTACACACACTATGAGATTAATAATTATGGAGCAACCAGGGCTGCATTGCAAATAGATGGGTAGCTATGATTTTTGTGTACACACTGCACGCGTAAAAGAAACAGCGTAGCAAAACAAACTATAATTAGCTACCAAGCTGACAAAGCGACAGCGCAAACAAAATAAAAAAAGAATTAAATGCATAATTCTCAGACTACCAGCGGTGTTAAAAGACAGCTGCGTTTTCGCGGTGATGTCAGCGCTAACAACAACCGCATCGAGGACCTGCAAAACGAAGAAACTTACAAACTACCAAAGGTCAAACTGCCAACAGTTCCGGATGACGTTGGCGCTACAGCAACAGCTGCACAGCAGCGCTTGCACACTGGTAAATACGAAAAATGTATAATCGTTGCAGACCTTTTCACTTGCCTTACGTATTGGCTTTATAGCCGGCTCGGAGACGAGCACATTTTATGATTTCTTCAAAGTGGAAATGACACGCGGCTACATGTTGGAGCACGACGAGGAGCGTTATTCGGCACGTCGCCAGAAGATCTACAGTTTTATGCGCATACCACGCGACTTGGAGCGTTTTATGGTGTATGGCATTATGCAGTGCGCCGACTCCTTTTTCTATATACACACATTTTTGCCCGTGAGATTTCTGCTGGCCGTTTGGTCGCTGCTGACGCGCACTGTTGCACGCATTTGTCGACTGCGCGGCGGGGGTCAGCGCCTACTATCCCCCGCAGAAATATGTGATTTACTCAAAGGTGCCATCTGGATCTCAGTGACGCTGATCATGCTGCTTGTGGACACCAATCGTGTGTACCACATCATCAAATCGCAGTCCATCATCAAGCTGTATATATTTTACAATATGCTTGAGGTGGGCGATAGATTGCTCTCCGCCTTTGGCCAGGATACCATTGATGCTCTCTTCTGGACGGCCACAGAGCCGAAACACTCCAAGCGCGAGCACTTTGGCGTTCTCACGCACATTCTCTTTACGCTCATCTACGTGTTCCTGCACAGCGGCCTTATCATGTTTCAGGTGGGTAAAATATCGATAGCGCTGCTGGTTTTGCGCACTTTTTTGCCGCCATCTTTTTAGTTTCTTGCATTTCCTTAACTCTTGCAGGCCACTTGTCTAAATGTTGCTGTCAATTCCAACAATAAGGGCCTCCTCACAATTATGATATCTAATAATTTTGTGGAGCTCAAGGGCTCTGTGTTCAAGAAGTTCGATAAGAACAATCTGTTTCAGCTGACTTGCAGCGATGTGCGCGAACGCTTCCATTTGTCTGTGCTGTTGTTCATTGTGATGATTCAGACTATGAAAGAATTCGACTGGAGCATCACACAGTTCTGTGTCATGCTGCCCGATTGCTTTGCTGTGCTGTTCACTGAAATACTTATCGATTGGGTGAAGCATGCGTTCATCACAAGATTTAACGAGCTGCCCGAGAGCATCTATCGGGAGTACACGACGAGCTTGGCCTATGACATGACTCAGACGCGTCAGAAACATGCCTTCTCGGATCACTCAGACCTGGTGGCGCGTCGCATGGGCTTTATACCATTTCCGCTGGCAGTGGTGCTCATCAAAGCCATTTACACAGCAGTGTCATTTCATAATTTAGCTGCATGGCTGCTCTTTCTGTTGGCTTACCTATTTGCCTTGGGGCTGCGCATCTGCCTAACCATTTGTGCATTGGGCAAGGCCTGTAAGCTAATGAAGGAGCATCAGACGGAAAGAAACAGTTCCACGCCCAGCAGTATGACTAATGTGCCCGTTATTGGAGCAACTGTTGGTCTCGCCATTCCAAATTTGCAAATACTGAACAATAATAATATCAACAGCAGCGGCAGCAGCGCACCTTTAAAGCCGTCACATGTGTCGGTCGCTGCTATGCCGCTGGATCAGAGTCTGAACTTTTCACGCGCTACCTCAACGTCTACGCCAAAGAAGGCGACCAGCGAGCAAGAGCTGGATGTGACCAATTCACTGGAGTTGGGCGCCACAGCGCTCTTCTCCAATAGCGATGTGGACTTAGACGATGTGTGCCTTAATGAGCAGGTGACCAATGTGAATTCAAATGCTAATGCTCAGGAAGTCTACCAGGATGAGGAGCTGGCACGCAGTGAGCCAGATCTTATGCAGCTGAACGATGCGGCTGGCGGTGAGGCCAGCGACAGTGCACAGCTGGAGCGCGCCAAGGGGCTGCCTAAGCGTACCCACAAGCGCTCCGAGTCCGAGCCTTTCATGGGCATGCAATGTCTCAACGAGAAGCCAACTGCGTCAAATGTTGGCGGCAATGCAACGTAGTTAGGACTGTTTATTTTATTACTTTATATTGCTTGTGGCTCTAGTAAATCACTTGCGTCCCCTGGATCTGGAAATCCTTGCCTGGGTAAAGCCCTGGTAATTAATAACGTATGTAAAATGAATTTATATGTATTGTATTAGTTTAGGAAAGTATGCTGATGATGTTCTCTATAAAGTTGACTTTATTTTACCCTCATAAGTAGAATATGCATTTGTTTATTAAACTTATTTCCATACTTAACCTTTATTTTTGCCTATACTTTGCCTTAAGCATTAAAAGCGGTTAGGGTTTTCCATTCAAACTTAACAGCCACCCAGCGCATTTCCAATACTGATTATATGCTGTTAGCTTACAGCAATGTTAAGAGAGATTACTGTTAATTGCTGTAACACACAACATGTTATTGCATACTTTTTTGGGCAGTGCAAAATTTAGATAAATAAAAATACAGTTGTGCCCTGGCTATCCAAAATGAGAGAAATAGAGAGAGAGAGAGAGAGAAGTTAAAGGAGAGAGCTTAAGAGAAAGCTCAAAGACAATAGACGTAAATTTGTGTTTCTAGAGGTACAAACTCAGCATCATGTTTAACAGAATTTACTGGTTAGTGGATGTCCCGATAATCGATTTTTGGCGTAATAAAGCTCGATAAGTTAAATGAAAAGAAATAAAAAAAGTAGTTTGCTTGAACAAGAAAATACATTTTGAATGTTCTACAAAGATATTGTGAATAATGAGGAGATAAGGAATGAAAGCAAGGACTTTTTTTAAAGTTATAACCTATTATTCAGTATTCAGTATTTACCGACCATCCAACCATGTAATCATAGTTTGCCCAACATAATAAATTAAACCGGAAACGCGTGCCAACATCCGCAACGCCTCTGCGTAACCTTTGAAATTCGCTGTACACTTGTGTGGGCTTTCCTTTCCTGGTCTGGACACGTGTCCTTGGTTTTTGTTTGTTCTTTTCTTGCAGCAAGGCACCTATCCCAATGAGTCAGTGCACCCAAACTGAAGATTGCTCACTGAGCATTTTAGGGGCATGAGTTGAAAAGTTGGCCAAATGCTTAACACGCAACTTAAACAAATTAGTTGATGGACATCGAGGCGGGCCGCCGGCCAATTTTGCATGGTTTCATGAATGAAAATGGCTTTATTCGCTGGCATCGTGTTTACACGCGTAGGAAAATCAACAAGCCGCAAATAGCCCGCGTTTGTACCCGCAACTGCTGCCAAAAACATACGCACTGTTAATACGGCTGCTCAGCTCACCTTGGGTGTGCACGCGCATGAACATGCCGAAATACAAGCGCACACGCACAGAAACAAACTCCAGCACACACACACATGCACTCGTGCACACACACACACACAGAATTTACCGCTACACACGCGCCGCGCCTTTGGGCATTTCATTTTTATGAATGAAATTCTACGCTGACCTTGAGCGTAATTACGTCAGAGCTGCCATAGGGGAAATTTCTCTGGGAAAACCCCTCAAAAAATCCTTAAATGCGCATGTCCATCGAATCATTTGGCCCCGCTTTCGTTTCGAGTTCGACTGTTGCTGGCTTTCATTCATGAAATGCCTTTGGGTTTTCATGAATGGTCTTGGCTCAAATCTGTTTTGGGTCCCCTACTTTTCAAGGACACGTGTGCGCCGCTTGCCGTTTAGGCATTCCCATTGATTTTCCCATATATGTATGTATATTGTGTTTTTTTGCACAAGCTCGCGCCTTTTAAGTTTCTGGTTAGACAACCAACATTTCGATAGGATATATATGTATATATATACCGTATATGTGCATATGTGTGCATAATTATTTGTTTTTTTTTTTTAGCATTGCATAATCCTTGATGTTTGATAAATGAGTGGGCAAATTCGTAGCTAAAGAATTCATGTTTGTCCTTGGTCCTATATTTCCTTCCATAAGTCTATGCGTCATATTAAATAGTTAACTTATATTTTTTAAATTAATTTCGTAGGTCAGAAAGTTTCCTGAACAGTTAATAGAAACTTTCGTTATTTTATTTATGCATTTTCGATAAGTTTATTTAAGTTTTAACTAAATAATTTGAATGTTAGCTGGAAACGTACGGCTAACGTGAATTTTAACTTTTGCAAGTTTTCGCCCATGTGCGACTGCGTTGAAAAGCTGTCTCGAAAAACATACAATTTCCGGCCGGCTGGCGTGCGTTAAAAATAGCCTTGAGTAAGGCAAGCAAAACGGAAAGTGAACGCGCAGTTTTATCAATGAATAAGGGCACCCACGGATGTGCGCCCCAACAGGACGCACACCCGACCTTCAGGCACAACTAAGTGCGAAGCCAGCCAAACCGTGTGGAAGAACTTTGGATGAGAAGCCGGGCAGGGCCAACGTTTTGCCTTGCTCTTGACTGGCCTTAGCCCATAATTTATTGATTTTCAGCACACGCGAGCCCGAGCCCGAGCCGGAGCCCGGCACATGCGCCGTTCGTGCCAGCCAGCTGCTTATCTGTGTGGCACATTGTCGTCACGTTCCGGACTTGCGGGCACGGGCTAAAATAAAACTGTTGCGTTACTGACGTCATACGGTCAAAAGTTTAGTAAAAGCGCATTGCCAAAAGTTATTAGATATATACATACATATACATATAAATACAATATATTATATTGGAATGGTAATTTTTTAAATATCCATATTTTCACCGAGATCGAAATCATTGAACCATTCGTAACGCTGGAGACGCGACTGAACTACCTCGCCGAGGACATACAGACGAACGGGTATATTACCATCATAATCTCCATCGTAGTCACTGTCATCCTCATCTGGCCGCTGTTCGGTGGACATTAGTACATCAATGACAATGACGCCGTGCAGCAGATAGATGACGCCGCAAACCAGAGCGCAGAGAGCCTGTACACGCATATATTGAAAGACTGGATGCAGTGGCTTCTCCACTTCCAATCGAGATTCACCCTTTGCGTTGAACAAATAAAAGTCGCGCTCTGCATTCTCCAGGATCATCAGCGATATGAAAATGTACAACAAAAAGCCAACCATGGTGCGTACGATTTCTTCAACAATTGAAAATTGATGTCCCGTGCAGATGTTGATACTTGCAAAAATTGTTAGCACCGTGAATATATAGAAAGCGGCCGAACTGAAATAGTGGCAAATAAGTGACCAGAGCGGTAAAAAATCCAGAGATTGCCTCAGAAATCCATGTATATGGCAGAACATCAATATCATGTTAAGTAAAATTTCGACTGTGTAAAATTGGAATAGAACCGGGCGCATTATTAGCCGACTTTGCACAAAACACAATATGTTGTATACAATTATTTGTACTTAATTGTTTCTTGTGTGCTTTTTTTCTGTTTTCTTTCGTTTAGTATTCAAAAAGTTGTGTCTTGGTATAGCTATATATATTTGAAACTGATTTTTATTTATTCTCAAATCCGACAGTTTTCGCACAGAATGTTTGATATTTGCCGGCTAATTGGTTTGTCCTTATTGTTGAGGTTTTTTGATTGATTGTTCCTGTGGTTGGAGATCCTTAAATGGGCAGCGGAGCACCGCGTGCAAAATTATAAAACCATTCGTACTGCTCAAGACGCGTTTGCACCAACTCGCCCAGCAGATAAAGACGAGCTGGTATATATTCAAGATTCTCGCTGTACTCTTCGGAATCATCGAACATTCTTTCGAAATCGAATTCCTCCTCGTTCGACAATGACACATCAATGACAACGATCGCGTGCAGCAAATAGGTGACGCCGCAGGTCAGGGCGCATACCGCCTGGGCGCGCATAAACTCAAAGAACGGATGCAACGGTCGCTCCACCTCCGATTTGTGCTCGATCATTAGGTACATTAGATGAAAGTCCGCCTCCGCATTCTGCAGCGTCAGCAGCGAAATGGTTATGTAGAACACAAAGCCGCATACGGTGCGTATGATTTCCTCATTTAAGGAGCACTGGTGTCCGGTGCAAATGTTGATACTGGCGAATAGAGTTAATATTGTGAAAATAAAGAAGGAAACGGAAAAGAAATAGTGAGTAAACTGTTGCCAGAATTCCAGAAAATCCAGCGGATGTGCCAGAAATCCGCGTACATGATAAAACATGATTATCATGTTCAGTATTGTCTCAACGGTGTAAAACTGAAACAGAACCGGCCGCATTATTGCCCGATTTTACACTGTCGTATACTCCAATATAAATATGTATGCTGCCTCTTTCCTTATTCTTTTTGGTTTTGTTTTTTGTTTTTGTTTTTGGTTTTTGTTTTTGTTTTTGGTCTCGCATCCGACAGTTTTTGCACAGTATGTTTGACACGCTTTTGTTGGGTCCATGGATTGCTGAGGCAGTTGAGAGTGCTTCGCTCATCATAAAAAAAACCTCTTCACATTTGCCCCGTTGCCAATGTTGTGGTTCTTGTTGTTGTTGCTGTTGTCGTTTTGGTTGGTCGTTCGTTGGACTGCTGCCGCTGGAAACAGTAGCAACATTTTGCTGGCAGTTTGATGTTGTTGACGGCCCGTTGACGGCGATTATGTTGATGACGCGCAACACCAAGACCGCAACGAATTTACGCGCAATTCTCCACCGCTTCGCCATCTCGAGTGGCAAGCGGTAAGCATTTGTATTTAAATGTACACCAAAAAGTGTTGCAAAAATGTTAGAACGCCTTGCAACTCCAACTGAAGCATTAACATTTTGCTATCGATCACATGGTATTTCTCTGTTATCGTGCCAGTGTTGCCCCTTCTGCATGTGGCCGATAATTATTAGATCGTTGATCTAATTGAGTGATGAGCTCTAATTTGTACGTGTCCAGTGTTGCTCAACGGCTTGATTTAACTTCTGCTATTAACAGAATTTGTTAAAGACTGGTTGCATTCTCTTATGTTCCAATTGGACCGTGGATTGGATCCTTGTTTTGTCAACATTTTCGCGCGGGTGTAAGTTGATGACCAAAAACGCAGAACCCACACTCACGGCAATAACAACAACAAAAACAACAACTTTGCACCGACAGTAGCTGCAGGAATATAACAAATCAGTTGCTGCTGTTGTTGTGGCTGGCAGCCACTGTTTATCCGTTGGCTGTGTGCAAAGTAAAAGGGTTAATTCATTTGGCTACAGTTGAGGAGCCATTCTGACTGCGTCATCTTGCCAAGAGACGTGTCTTGTGGCTTTTGCTGCTGCTACCACTGTTGTTGTTGTTGTTGTATTTGCGGTGGCGGCGGCGGCGGCTGCTGCTACTGCTGCAATTTTGACAAGCAAACAGCGCTTAAGCGAGTTAAGTGGTTGCGAGCAGCACAAAAGCCTTTGCTTGCCTTTTGCCTTTGCCCAAGTCAAATTCCAGGGATCAACACTGCCAACCAGACGGCCTGCAACACAGTAGTCAACTCGACGCAACTCAACTCAACTCAAACCATCGCCATCGCCATCGCCGTCGTCATCGTCAGCCTCATCATCGTCTTGGGCTCAAGTTGAACTTAAGCGCGTGTGCTTGCCTAGTAGCTGGGGCGGCGGCAGCGGTGGCTGCGGCGGCGGCTGTGTCGGTGGTTTTTGGCGGTTTGCTTTTCTTTTTCTTTGCTTTCATGCCCTGCACCCATTGAAAATGGGCAAAGAGGGTGTATTGGTTTTGTGCAAGTGTTGGTAACTGGCACAAGATAACATCTCCGGCCCCATATATTCCTGATCAAGAGCGCTAGGTAAGTCAATTACGTGTCCGTCTGTCTAGAGATTTGAAAGTTCGAACGTAGGTACGCCGATTGTCCGCGCAGTTCAAGTTTATTTTAATTCCCATTCCTTCATACTATTTTATGCCGTATTTTTGCCCTGAAAATATCAAAAAGAACGGAATATAAATGCCGAAGGGAAGAAGACGCATAAGGCGAAAGAGAGTTGGTAACGGCAGCTTGGCGCTGGGCTTAGGGTATCTCCTAGTCGGGCACTCCAGACTAGAGCACCCTTGTGTTGTTTTTTGTTTCTGATTTTCACCGTTCTTGTGTACACAGTGTGGATAACACAACGCGCCCCGACCTGGAAAGGGGCGTTTGTATTTGCATGTAATGTGGAATGTGCACACACACACACACACACACACTCTGGCAGCTGCTACAATTAAGAGTGCTAAACTCTTGTGTAATCGTCCCGAGCTACCAAAACGCTCCAGTTACGCCCACCACCATGGGGCATGGCAGACCGCATGCCATTACAGTTAAATGCAAGTGCATAAATAACAATTACAGTTGCACCAGCAGCAGCGGCAGACAACAACAACAACAACAACAAGAATAACAACAACGGACGCTCAGGTGTCAATTGGGGGCCGCATTGTCCGGCGGCCATTTTGCAGCAAAAGCGCATTTGCTGATCGCCATATATCGACATATAATGCCCGTTGATTATTATGTTTACACTTGGCTAGCAATTTCATGGCTGCAACCATTTCGGCCAAACAGTGCTCTAATAATGAACCCGGGCCAAGAAATCTCAATGCAAATCAACGGCAATTAATAATTCATCGCCCGCTGGGCTCCTAGCATGGCGTCATAGCAATTATATGGCCTCTGTTGAAGAGAGTGTTGGGGAGAGCTGTGGCAAGAGTTTGAGAGTATGAGTTTCTCGGAAAAGGGTGAAGGTTGGGCGGAGGGGGGGTGGGTTTGGCTTAGCGTTAGTATTACAATAAGCCAGTAATCTAAATGCACACGAGGGCTGCCCCAAAAGTGTTTATATCAAGCAGTAAAAATGGCTGCTAAGTTGGGCTGGTTCGATCTGTGAGCTAAATCATTAAAATTTCATATAATTAAAAATCTAATAAAAATATTATTTTGTATTATTACGTGTAAGTACGGCAACTCCACATCAGCAATTATTTAAAGTTACACAACACTTTAATACGCGAAGTAAGCCATTCAATCTATCGACTTTGACTCTTCACTTATTCTTATCGATATTTGTCTAATACAGTTTGATAAAAAGTATCGTTGCGACTTCATCAAACTTCAATACTTTTGAATCCATACTCGTTTATCTGACCATATCTTTGTCTACATATATTCAATAAAATAAATTTAATATGCAAAACAGCCGGGCAACTGCTGCAGTGGCCGCCTGTCGTCCAATATCAGCGAATTTGCAATAAAATATTTGTCTGGCCGCCGTGTCCAGACTCGGTCTGGGTCTTAGCTCCAGCTCCAGCTCCAGCTCTGGCTGCAGCTCTGGCTGCAGCAGTGGGTCGTCGAGCGGTGGCCGTTGCGTTGCGGCTACTGAAAATTATTTATTCGCACCTTTCGCCGCCGCAGACATCGCTTGTCTGCCCCGTGCCGCCCGGCATGTCCCTGTCCCTGTCCCTGTCTGGCAGCTCACCCAGTTGGAGCTGCATTTCCATTTGCTTATCAAATCGCTTGCATCGTGCAAAAGAAATGCAGGGCAAATATAAATATTAGCGAGCTGGCAGAACTGCTGCCGGGCATCGTGGGGCGGAGACAGCCAGCCCGATATAAGATCGGTCTACGAAATTAGGCGCTGGCAAAAATCAAAAGCCCCTTCGGCTATTTCAGCCTGTCTCAAGCATGAAAAGTGTGAAAACGAATTAGTGCAAATGCAACTGAGAACCATTTGACCAAAGAGCTAGAGTATGCAGTGGGGCAGTAAGCCGCAGTGATTAAAAGAGGAAAGTAGAGAGAGGTATACAGATAAAAGTAGGTAAAAACTTATATATAATTTTTAATAAAAGCTTATCGTAAAACCTTACATTGCCTTTGATTAAGCGGAGGAATCAATGCGGAATTAAACTATCACAAGTTGGGCGCAACTGCGCAATCGGGGGCCGATTTCCAGCACAATTCAGACTTCATTGGGTTGGGAACACCATATAAAAATTGAAATTAAATAGAATATCTTTTCCGAAAAAAAGCTGTAAAACGGGTAAAGAGCAGCGTCAATGCGAACTACCTATATACGACACTTTTACTCAAATTTCTATGTGAATAATTGAAATTTTGCTGATATAACTATTTTTTGTGGATATGCGCCAAGCTTGCATTCTTTTCAGATGGAAAAATATCCTATCTCAGGATCAGGATGTCGCTCTGTTTGCCTTTGTGAACTCTGACCGCGGCGACTTACTGGGCACATTATTCGCGGAAGAGCCTTAATATCGTTTGTTTTTAAGATCTGTTTCGATATCCCGTCCCATTTCCATTCTACCAAAAATTTGTGTGTAGGCTCTCGTTATTTATACACTGAATATTTTTTTGGATTTTTTTTGGATTTCCTCAAAATCTAAAATCTTATTTTTAACTGTAGATGCTGTGTTTTGTGGTATACACGAATTTTGATGCTATATTTAATGCTCAAAAATTGAAGATGCATTAACGAATTTAATGGCAGCATTGTGCTGGGATGTGGATATCTTTACGACGGTTTCTAACTGGAGAACTTGTTCTAACTAGACTGATACAATTTTAGTGGGACATACTGGGAGTGAGTAGATTACATAATTCCCGCTTGTTTCTGGGTTTGGGGGTATCTTTTAGACGGGCACTCCCAACTAGAGCAACTTTAGTGAGTAGATGTCAAAGTATCCACGTATTATTTGTATCCATATTTCTGGACAATTTTATTGGAAGATCTATAGTTCCGCAACTGTCTATCTGTCTACCTGTTAAGTTTGGGTTCCCAGCGCCAGCTCCAAGTGTAACTCAACAGTTGTTTGATTTCCCGTTCGACAAGCGAAACAACTTTTGAACACATGTTGCATGCAGCTTGTTTGCTCTGCTTGTGCTCTACAAATGCCAGTCAAAGTTGAATTGTCACTTGTACATGGGCGCCCAATAATTATAACAATGGGTGGGCCACACACACACACACACACACACACAAACACACACGCATAGTGTTGCCATAAGCATGGAGCTGCTAACTGTGGCATGTTCACAAATTTGTTAGCATTCCACAACATTGGCCACTGACAAAACGGCCGCCCAAAACGCTGCAAGTTGCCAATGACAAATTTTGTTGTTGAAAATCGTGTTGCGTGTATATGGCCACATTGCGTGGCGCATGCGTGGAGTCGGGCACATTGACAAATCGCCACATGGCGGGCGGCCAATTAGCAACAAGTCGGCGGAAAATTGTGCCAGTCGCTTGGTCAGAGAAAGCAAATGGTTATTGGTTGAAAACGGACTAGAAACATTTATTGCTGCCTGGACTCGGGTTGCAGAAATATGAACTGCACGTGCTGCACATGATTGTCCTCCAAAGGTGTCTCCAGCAATTCCAGTGTCTGCTGGTTGCTAAACTGCGCAGCGCGGAAGGAGGAGAAGGAGAAGGAGCAGGATAATTGTAGTTGCATCAGCTTCAAGGAAGCACCTACTTACATTTAGCTTGAATTCCTCGAGGAGTGGCTCACCCTCTTGCAAATACAGTCCTAGGGCTGGAGTACCCAACTGCTCTATGCAACGCATATTAAATAGACTGTATAGCAACTGGATCGTCAGTTGGGGGCAGCCGATCACGTAGAGCTGTGTGAGCACCGGACAGGCATTGACAAAGGCCGCCGCCTGTTCATTGCTGAGATTGGAGCAATGACAGAATGCCGCATAGCTGAGCACCGGCAGCATGCCCAGTGTGGTCACATCCATGGCACCAAATTGACAATCGATCAGCATGAGCCCGTCCAGCCGCATGCAGCGCTGCAGCTCCAGACTGAACAGCCACTCCGCACTGCCCAAGTGGCTGCCATTGATCTGCATTGTTTTGATATCGTTGGCACGGCAATTCAGTATCAAGGACATGGCAACGAGTGTCGCCTCTGCGCTTGACTCCTTCTGTTGCAGCTCAAGGAACTTCAGTTGTGGCAGCTGACAAATCTCCGCAGCGGTGCTCGCATCTATGGCTGCCACGGTCAGCGTCAACTCCTGTAGTTTCGTGCATCTGGAGATGCCGGTTAAATCTGCATTGCCACGCCCCAAAATCTGTAAGCACTTCAAGCGCTCACAGCTGTTCCAAATGGCAGCGAATGCCTCCGGCGACACATCCTCGTGCAGCGCCAATAGCTTCAGCTGACTGAACTGCTCAATGAAACCCATCTGCACGGGCATGTGCAGCTGCAGGCGATGCAGACGGGTCAGCAGCTTGGGCAGCGAGTGCAGCGGCCACATGGCACAGTTATCGTCCTTGCTGCTATCCCAACGGATCTCGCACTCGCGCACGCCGGGCAGCTCGTTGATGCCACAGCGCTCCAATAGATTGAGCTGCTCCTGCAGCTGGTCGCTGTTGAAGCGGACGCTGCTGAAATGGCGGCGCATCTTGCGCAGAAATTGCTGCAGTGCCTCGCCGATCAGTTGCTTTTGAAACTCTTGAAAATCTAGACACGTGTAGGCCTCGCGCCACGTGGCCACCAGCAACTTGGGCAGCTGCCTGGAGTTGCGTCTCACCTCCACCTGCTCGGCAATGCTAAACTTATCGAGTACTCCGAAAAGTGGGGACCCTGCCTCCTTGTCCAAGCGCTTGTATTTGACCAGCACCGACTTCGAGGTCACTGGAGTCGACAACGTGGAGGTGCTCATTTTCGCCGAAAATTCAATACGTATTCTTTATAGTAATTTCTAAATTAGTGTAAATGCCTTGTGGATTACTGTAGAGGAGTATTTTGTTATATTTAGCTAAACAGCTCGTATGTTTATGAGTCGTGTTTCCCTTTGCCCTTGCCTGCTCAGGTCGGTTTCGTTACCTAGAAAAGAAAAGCTGATATGATTGGCACAATTATTACAAGTTTTCGTTATTTTTTCAGTATACACCGCTTTCTTTTGAAAGCAAAACTTGATTACTTTACATTTTTTTGTAATTTTAGATTGGAAACACAACTGCTTCCTATAACACACAATTATAATCACTGCATAAAATACACAAACCTGTATACTTGATTTAATGAGAATCTCATAGAAGGGCAATATTTCAAAAACTTCATTCTTCTGTGGTTGCATGTATGCAAATATTTATATATATATATATTTATATACACATATATAATAACAATAATTGAAATATTTTTTGTATTTTGATTGTCTTTTTTGGCAGGTCCCGAAAAGTCGTTTGCTTAGCGCCTCAGTGTTGCCACATTGAGAAGTTTTGAGGATCGAACCCACATAAAGTCGAAGGACAAAATATTTGGTGGAAAATTGGCGCAGCTTTTCCACATATCTAAAGCTAACGCGAATTACACAAAACAATTTCAATACCATTTGCGTATTCAAAATTATTCATTTGGCACTCCAAGCTTTAATTGAATTCATGAGAATCACATAGTAGGGTGGTATTAGAGAACATACATAATGGGAATTATATGGCCATGCGCGGCTTTAAACGTCAGTTTTCCCTCAATTTTTAGGTCAAAGAACACGATTCAATTTATCCCCCCTACTACCTTCAATCCCCCTTTGAATCCAGAAGCAGTTTTTTGTAAATTTTTTTATTTTCAGCGCAGCACATGGCTTGGCCTAAGGTTCAGCTGGCACCTCAGACCAACTGGAAGCTCCAACCATGCCGTAATCATCAGTTGCAGCTGGAGTCGATGCTGTCCATGCGGTAGCTGTTAAATCAAATCATCGAAGACAGTAGCTCAGTTTGAATGGCCAGCACTTGGTGTTTGCCCTGGGGGCCATCAAATTACCAGCTGGCTGGACGGGTTGGGCTGTTCGACTAACTACCAAGCGGCCAAGTTGGCAGTTGGCAGTTGGCAGTTACCTGCTGCTGCCTGTTGCTAATAAAGCCGTAAAATTAAACGCCAAGCGGCTGTCCCCGGCTGCGCGGCCAGTGATAAACGCCCAAAGATGTTTTGAATTGTTTATTTGCGTGCAAATAATTGCCGCTCAGCTCAGATCGGGTCGGCTAAAGATTGGGTGCGTAATCAGCGGCTCCTAACGAGCTGCCATTGCGTGTAGCCATGCCATTTGATGGGCGTGGCATTTCAAAGGCGTCAATTGGCTGCGCTAATGAGCCGCTAATAAGAAAGCGCGCGTCATCAAACATTGGGCAACAGGTGAACAAAAAATAAAAGCCCAGCTCAAACCAAAGCTCTATCGATTCGGGCTGGCTACCTTATAGAGCACAAGACCTGGCAAATGGCGCGTTATGAAAATAATTAAAATATTTACAAATGCCAGCAGAGGCAAGCCCAACATCAAATACAACTGCCACACAAAATTCCCAAAACTAGTTTGGGCTGAAATGTAAACGCCCCAAATGCGGGCTGGCTAAAATGTACGTACATATGTATCTATGTATCTATAAATCTATGTATCTGTAGCTGTATTTGTAGCTGTCTCTGCCGCCGTTGTCTATTTGGCTCACCCGGACAAGGCTATAAATGTTTGAATGGGCAAAAATGTAAAGCGCATTGGCAAAAAAAAAATAGAAGACAAAACGCGTTTTGCTCAAAACTTGTAAGACATGGCATATGGAAGGCACGAGAGAAGACAAGTTCACAAATAGGGCAAACCCGGCACATATTTCGGCACATAAAGGGTATTCAATTTTGGCAGGAAATGTCTTATAAGCTATATATCTTGTATGCGGCAATAGCCGAGTCTCCTACTATCTAATATCTATGAAAATTAGTCTCTGAGACTGAAAATATATCTGTGGCTCATTACAACACAAGTCATACACACATGTGTCGCACACAGCTCGAATCGGAAAACTATAACTATATAGTCACTAATAATATGTATATTTTGATTTCATCATAGTGGTAATATACGAAAGTTATATATCATGCTCTAGGGAAAAATTGCACTTTTTATTTTATATATATTATATATTGAAAAAAAACCTAATCAGTTACAAGATTTAATATTCTTTATACTATTACAAATTGCTTCACACTGTCCTGCAAGGATGTTTCTTCGTCACTTAAAAAAAAAACCATTTTTAAATTTAATTTTTGTTGGCTTAAGGCAACGTTTTTCTATTGCATGTGTCCAAACTGTCACGAGTTAAACAATTGCAACGGCAATCACAGATGAAAAAAAAAAATAAGGAAAAACATTAGAAGACAAATCTTTAATTAACTTGCGTCCGAGCTGTTGAAAAATATTAATAAAACATTTCAATTTTCATGTTTTTCGTTTTACCGCAAACCATTTTTCCGGCTGACATTTAACGAGTTGAAGTTTGAGTTGGCCCCAAACTTGTTTCTTTTGGCTACGGTAGCCGCCGAGTCCGAGTGTCCGAGTGTCCGAGTGGGCATCTCTTAATTGATGCAACAGCAAAATGTTGTGGAAACAAAGCAAAGATATGAGCAGACAAGTGCCATAAATAAGACCCAAAATCAACTGAGCGTCTCATTAGCAGACGCGCCACGACGAAAGCCAAAAAGAAGCGCGACACTAGACGCACGACTCTAGCCCCTTGTGGCAAGTGCCGGCGGCACGCTGGCCTCCTGCCTTGGGGGCGCATAAAAAACGAATCACCAAGGCGCCAATACAGTTCAAAATGAACACGTTGCCGCAACTCATTAGAAGCTGCCCAGCAGGGCGGGTTCCAGTTCAGAAACCAAACAAAGTTATTTAAATTTGTTTAACTGCCTTCGAGATTGTAGGGGGTTCAAATGCCTCGACTCACATGTTTGTAAGTAGTTCATATTCTGATCAAATATAATGCAAATCCGGTTGGTAAGCACAGGTTTTTTTTATCCACACAGTTGTTGTCTTTAATTTTCGTAGAAATGTTTAGTTTAAAGTTTTTGCAAATTTTTTATTTTACAATCTAATTAATTATGGAAGACTTTGTTCTTTTGTTACTAGCGAGGTCTGATATTCCAGTCCAGCTCTAGCCAAATAAGTATTTGAAAGTCCGCTGCTGTATATAAATCAGGATTATTTGTCTGAAAATAAAGTAATTGTCGAGCTCATTTTCCAAGCTTTGAGCTATATTTTTTTGTTCTACGATTTACATTTCTGCGTACATATTAGACCCCGATTAATAGTTTTTCAAATTATTTCTCATATTTTTTAGTTCATATTTTCTACATGTTTCCGAAAAAAAGCTACCAATTATAATAACAGTTACACATTACATACCTTTAGTTCGACTATTTTGACAGATTCTGGCTACCCTGGTGCCAGTGTTGGAAAGCAAATAATCAAAACTAATTAAATTTCAAAACTTCCAGTAACAATTAAGTTTAATACCAAAAGTAACCGAGATATTTTTGTTCATACAAAAATTTAATGTAAATAACCAAAGAATGGATCTTAAAAATGTAAACAATCATTAAGATAGCATTCTTAACTTATATTTATTTCGGTTAATAAAAGCGAGCGTATAAGAAATATTGTTGCTGCTTTTTTCGTAAATGGAATGTTTAAGAAATCGTGTACATTGAGGTCGTCACACTTCACGCCTGAGAGATTGTTTAAATCGCAATGCCAACGCATGTTGGACACGCCATTTTATCAATCACGTAGAATCGCGGCCATTTTGTTTCGTCTTTTGGGGGTACGGTAGCGTTACGTGTGCGTCCCGCCTCGCACAGTGAGCGCTCGTTAGCGTTGATTTATGCGCCCAATTTGTGGCATATAAAACACGTATTATTGGAAAGAAAATGTTAAGCCCGGCTTGTGTACTCTGATCCAGGATGATGGCCGCAAATTGAATTGAAAATGCGTATTGCAAACATTTTGTAGCTGCCTAATGATCAACCATTTACTTGCCTAGTTTATGCCAGCAGCAACAACCACAACTATTATACAACAACAAAAACGCATAACCAATAACAACAACTGCAAGCGCATCGCTCTGTGATTTTATGACTGCCAACGCCAAACAGGACAGAAACAGACGCCAATGGCGAACCGTGTGTGGCATTTATGTCGCCTGTCATGTCAATGGACAGGCCGGCCTTAAGCCTGGTGACAAAGTTGCGGCAACAGCGGAGTCTGTGCCCCGCCGAATCGTTCACAATCAAAGAACCAACCAACCACGAACGCCCTCCAACTCCACCAGCACACACTCACACACACACACTCACACACACTCACACGTCCGCTCGTCATGCTAATTGCCATTTACACCTAAAAACCACAATCAAATTGAAACAAATTCCAAAGCGTGCGTGTGCCTTAAGCACGCATCCATTGAGCGGACTCGACTAAAAATATACCCTGTATTCGTGGAGTTAATTGTAAATGAAATGCATGCGAGAAAAACTCCTGGGCATTCAAAGAAGCACTTTTTATATGTGGAGTGCGCTCGAATACTAATATACCCTATAAGAAAGTGTTAGCAATATCTTAAGTCCTCTCAAGAGTAGTCCCTAGCTTCCATAGATAAATCTATTCAAAAAATTTGAAGAAGTTTGATTATATTAAAAATATGAAAAAGGCAATTTATAATGATAATTAACACTAAATATTTTGGTAAAAATCTATAAATGAAAATATCGTATAAATATTAGAGTAAAAAGATTTATCTATCGCAATTAATATAGATGCAGGATTTGTATACATATATTTCGTAGACTCCACACTTAAGCTCTGATATTCAAAATTGTGGACTCTGTAGTGCAAAGCTGCGAGGGGCATTTTAAGATATGTTGTATTGAAGCTGAAAATACCTATATCTAGGATTTAAAAGATTCCAGAAATGGTTGCTGCTTTCTGAATGTCATATACCTTAAATACTTCCTATGA